GCGGGCTGCAATGTTGCGATTCTTTCGCGGGTCCGGAGATATCCATGCTACGAAGCAATTTTCCACGTCGGCATGTGTCATAAAAATAAATCAAAGCGGAATGCGTTGTATAAACAGTCCGCGACAAACGTTTCGTGCAATTAGACGATCAACACGGCAAAAAGAGCCAGCCATATGATCCGGTCCGTAAAGTCGTTGCGATCCCGAAGATCGTGTGGATTCGGCCGATTGACTCCCGTCCACGACCTCTTTGTTAGGGTCGATGCGCATTAGAATGAGCTTCTCAAAAGCTGCCGCCATCAATCATTGTAGCACTTCACATAAAGCATTCATTCACAGCACATCGGCTATATTGGCATTCATCCAACCCTTCATTACCTAACCGTGACAACCCAACTTTCTCCCAATCGTTCCTGGGAGGAACAATTCCACTTATGCTAATGGGTTCGGCGACTTCAACGGATTTACCCAATTCCATAAAGTTCTGTGATGAACGAGTTGCAAAGGTGAGCCGCCGATGTCCCGAGACGCTCGTCCAGGGCGTCGGGACGATTCCCGCATCGGCGAAGCCTTTCCGGACTAATTCGATGAAAAATGGTCATTGCATCTCTCGCATGTCACCGCTAAGCGCCAGTGTGAAGCTAAACTTATAAGTCCCTAAGAAGAAAGATAAGCCGACCAGTCGTTGCTCTCATTGTCAGGAACACCTACACTATCCCTACGATTCCATATTTGGTAGCTCCCAATGGAACCAGCCGGCCATCTGTCCTTTGTCGCTCACTTACGAGCCACACAATGACCTCGATCGGCGGCTACTCCATCCCGAATCTAAAGACAATTATTGTGATCGTCTCTTGACTTAATGGTGTCCGAGTTTTCTGATCGCTTTCCTTGACAAGCGGCTTAGTATCCGCAATTCGATCCCATCCTGTACATTACTGTACGCATATTCACTCGACAATGTTGACAGTATAATCACACCTAAGCTAACAAATCACCTGCCAATGACCTCAGTGCACACGTCTGTATGAGTTAGCCTTCGCTTCTAATAGCTAATATTAGCTCTATTTGGCTTCTCAGCACACCCTGCTCCTGGGATCCGTGAGAGATCCTGCACAGAAAAGTGATGCAGGCATGACAGAATGTGGGCAACGAGGCAGGAGGCAGAACTATTTATTTTATTCTATGTTTTATATTTTGATCTGTTTCAGTTTATTTTTGTTTCAAACACTGCATTACATAACGTGGTATTATGCATTATATAAACACATTTTTCATAATAAATAACAATTATAAAACGAACATGGTTGGAATTAATTGCTTTAGTCAACAATACTGGATATCACTTCATAAGCGCCAATTTCGAAGGCTCATTTATGAATAGATAAATAGATAAATAAAGTCAATTTAGACAACGAATAAGCAACCTTCAAAGTTCGCATTCTTTCCATGCTGCATCCATATGTTATCAAAAAACTTAAAGGCAAAAGTCGGGCTCAATAAGGGGGTATTATGGCGATTGAAACTGAGTATAGAGATGCGAAGTGGAACGACAGTGGAGAAAAAACTGAGAAAAACCGTCGACAAGGCCGTTAACAAAACCCTCTTTCCCACTAGCAGTGAAGGAGGCTGGCTTGGGGAAGAGGCACGTACAAACAAGTTTTCTGAAGATATCAGTCGTTCTATCGGTTGATACGGCTATCAACCTAGCTGATTTCACACGTTATGCCACATCCCGAGGTGGGCGGTCGTAGCGGGGCTAGGCGGCGATAGCGCATAGTACGTGCCCTGAGGCCTTATTACCGCGTCGTTTGAGATTTTGAGCATGGGAACATCTCTATGGGTGCGTAACCAATTACAGGAATGACCGAAAGGGTTGGTTAGGTTCACTAAGCCCGACCTTTGCCTTTAAGTTGAAAATTCTGTATCATAGCTAGAAGAAGGATTTTACGTAAACAAGTCGGTGAGATAAAAAGGCTACGGTAACAAATAGGCAGTAAATAATTAACCTCTGGTTGAATATTGCACGAGTGTCGGGATCAGAGGAAGCCGACGCTCTAGGTGGATTATCAATGCGGCTCTACCAATCAACGACCAATTCGCTACCGTACATTCCAGACGAGCGACACATTAGGGAATAGTTATCGACTGGACGGCATGAGGAGGCCTTCGAAGCAGAGAAAATATTCTGCATTTATAGTGGTTGCCTTGAAGCAAGAGGATGTATGTGCTCCAACGCGTGTTTGCTTACCTTGAGCGTCGGTAAGGAGATTTTAAATCTTGGGATTCGTCGCAACTCAAGCAAGCTTTATCCTCTATTGGATTGAGTCGAATTGTTAGCTTCGCTTGTATGGAAAGATGAAAACAATGACTACATTGGCTGCTCCTGCCAACTCAACTGTTTAGACAAATAGCAATAAAAAACGCGCACGATTCCAGATGGAGAGGGCGTTGCGTGGGCGCATCCCAATTAAGGGACTTGCATCAGCCACCCGATGCCACTATGCTATAGTTTAGAACCCAAACGAGCTACGACTTTTTTGCGTCGTACTTTGCATCGGTCAAAAACTAGTTGTGGGCAAGCAAGAGTAAGCAAAAAAACCACAACGAGACCGTAGATGACGAGTTCTTTCGCCGAGTTTTCTAGAGAGGTCACACTGCTTTTTGCGGCACGATGGGGCGGTAGCTTTGTAGTTGATCGCCAATAAAGACAAACGCCTCACAAACTCCCACCTCGGCTCCAAAAATCAAAGTAAACGAACCGTAAACGCTCGTCTCTCGATCTTGGCTGCTCGCCATTGTAATCCTGACGGCACCATAACCTGTATAGGATAGAGGGCAATATTTTTCCAAAGGTGTCCCTCCTCTTTCTGATGTTCAGCACTGAAATCCCACTCACTCTTTTCAGCCCATCATAATGAACCTCATGGATGGTCCTTCTACTCCTCACTAACATCTCCACATTCGCAGTGCTACCTCGGCGACACGCAGGTGTTCACACTCAGTCTGTCAGTAATTGACAGGGCCACGCGATAATATTTGTGCATCTTGTCGTGAATGCGCGAAATTAGCGCTAGACTTAGATTAGGTCTTCCGGTTGCGGACAAACGGAAACTACCGTATCCGGTGTGTAATTATACGAGCAATACGAGCTTCTTAAAATCACCACTCTTCCCATATGTTCCCAAAGGGCAATGTATTCTTGTGTTTCTTCCAGTCTGTCGGCTTCCTTTGGTGCCAACGCGTATTGTGTCTATTGGATGTGTGCATAGCGGCCTCGTAAGGGCGCTTCTACAGTTGCTAAGCCTTGTCGCGTGAAGAAAGATGAGCTATTGTTTACTCAGGTCATTTCGATTGTTGTGGTACATGGGTTTACTCAAAGTTCTTGCTGCCGCCTAGCTGCCGCCTTTTTGAGGGCTCCGAACTAAGGGGAAACACACATCGTCCATTAATTCCTACATCGGGTACTTACAGAACGCCACCGTAAGAGTTCATGAATATCCGCACCGCTGACATCGTGGGAACTTCACAATAAATCAGGGAGAATGGTCCCTTATTGGTAAGAACCTCCTAAAGTTTTTACATGTTTTACGTGACCAATTATCGATAAAACGACTTACTTTCTGTTTAGCTTTTCTGTTTTTTTTTTGTTTTGGTAGTACTGTAGATTAGGTAAGCTAAGATTCGGAAACGGCCCTTCGCTCGTCGGATAGCTTGAATGAAGATACTCCATTTCCATTTTCCTCTACAACACATGATTCTCAATCAGCAGTAGAGTTTGTGACCATAGATAAGCATTATTATCCTCGAAGGGATGATCTACGTAGAAACAGTAGCCTTATACGAAGATTTGATTCATCGAGAACTGGAAATGTTAGTATACTTCATGATGCAGTCTATTTCATAATATTCAAAAGAAGATACCGTAAAGTGTTCAGCACCAGGAATACACGGAAGCATCAGGAAAAGAGGCACCGAATTTGTGACCTTGCTTTTCGGAAACCCCTGCACTTTGGCTGGGTCATATTTCCTCCTTCTGAACGTGAACTGCCATTACTATAGTTATCTATTGGCTGCTCCCTTTTCGAAAGCGAACACGCGCTCTCCTATCAAGGAATCCTCGGGAGGGGGGGGAGGGGCTGCACCGCCTTGCCAATTACACATTCATTACCTCTACTTCGGAAAACAAGAGAGTTGTCAAAGGGCAGATCCACATACACAAGTGGACAGATGCGCCCGAGAAAAAAAGTGAAATTTTTCTCCCTTTCAATGCGCCTTCCTCACTTCGTGGATGTCTGGTCTGCACTCGGTGCGCTTCTCGTTTTGTGCAAAATAGAAGCTACAACCTGCAGATCACAGAAATGGCGTTCCACTGATGCAATGATGAGATAAGAACTCATGCACTCTCCTTGATTCCTTCATTCATGTCTTCATTCAAGCGGAGCCTGTGTGCCAGCCATTCTTGTCATTTCCATGGACATAGGGCGTACCAATGGGTAGTTGAGAAGAAAGAAGTGCTCTGGGATACGAACGTGTGCCCATTATGTAAAGAATCCAACTTAGATGGATGAAGCGTTTTTCGAATATCTCAGCACTTATTGGATTTCTTTTCGTATGCTAGAACTACCGAAACATCGGGTGGTCAGAAAAACTTAGAAAGAGATACGGACATATAAAATTTTCATCGTATCCCAATTTTTTGGCAAAGGCAATGACCGAATGTTAGATTTTTCGAGCAGCCTGAAAAATGAATTTTATCGGGAAAACGCAGAAATCGCCCTTGAGGGATACGAAGAACAGGGTAGGAAATAGTCAACGGAACGGGTCCTCCAATTCAATCCTCAAAATTCTCCCCTTACTCAGTACTTCCACTCGTTCACGTGTAAGCCCAGCAGAGCATGAGTACGGTAGGTGGGCGGGGCCGCCAGAGGGGAGGCGTGAACACGATAAGCGTCATATCTACGCGGGCTATTGCATCAGCCAGTCGTCTGTCGCTTGAAATGGTGAATCTTGACGACTTTTACTTTTATAGCCTTTATTATATTGATTGATTCCCACCTTCTTTTTCATCCTACAGATTCTCAGATGTTTCTTTCAGTTTTCATTCATTTCAGATGCTCACTGTTGATGGTTCGTTCAATTCACCCTGTTATGGGATGGAAGCCTCGGCCTCGTATGACTACTTTTCTGTCAGTTCAACGGCTCTTTGCGCTTCGTGTTCCCCATGTTCAAACGGTCAGATGTTCGACGATTTATGTGAGTTCTTTTTTGTCACAATCTCATTGTTCATGCCTTTGGATCCCCGTTTGGCTCGCTGACCACAGATTGTCCCTCAACTCACTGTTTCATATTGTGGAGAATTTTGCTCTTTGCCAGTCACCAATAATCGGACGAAAATGTGGGCCAGTCGTCTGATCCAGCTCTGTGATGCTTTCGATCAGGAGTTCTTTCAGGTACATGACTAACTTCGTTTTGATTTCTAATCCGGAGATCAATTACCTACTCATTCAATCTTTTTTCAGCCCTCCTCCTCCACATCGTCGTGGGCCTCGTTTATTTGGCGCTTCTTCATCTAGCCGCCTGCAGTTTCGTGCTCGCTGTGAATCTAAGTCAAAGAGATCTTGTACAAAGTGTTGTTTCCTTGTTGAATACATTGTTTTGAAATACTTCCTGTTTTCTTTCACCTCCCACTTGAGGATTCAGCCACCTCCCTTACACAAGTGTGGGAACTGTCACGTGCAATCCGAGCAGTATCGAGGGCTAATCGAGTAATTCTGAGCCGGTCATTCGTAAATCCTCTCGGCTGTCAATGTCAACTGGCACCTGTGCAACACGTGTTAATTATGAAGACATATGCAGATATTCAACACCCTATAAATCAGCTGGGAGACCAGCCACAGGCTCTGGGCGGGGACAAAATATCCCGGGGAAAAGAGAGGCCACTCGCATTTAATCTTCAGTATTTGGATCCGAGAATTTTCATGCCCTCTACCTTTCTGAGTCATGCCTATGAGATCTCCCTGCTGAGCACAAACGCAAAGAATTGTTTTTATCTAAAGCCGGCAGATTGGGAAATTGACCGTCATCTTTTTTAGTTTTTATTCTTCAAGATGGTACACTTTCGAAATTGTTTCTGAAGGGTCATACAGCAGCATTCGACTTCCCAAGAATGCTTCCACTCGGTTACCCAAGCCGGTACGCCATGCCCTCTTTCCACCCACAATTATTTTTCAACGTTTCAAAATATTGATTTTTGATTGACAGCCGCTAGCATTACGGTACTTCCCACTGGCGTCTATATGACGTCACAACTTTCCCAAGACGCGCAGTGTGACGTCATCTACCGTTAACCTACTGTACTTACAGTTTTCCCTATTTGATGGACTAGTTCTAACGCGTTCGCGAACGACCCGAGAATTTTTTGAATTTTCTGACACCTTTGAGGATGTGTCCTTGCACTTTCATAGAAGCAACTTATCCTCGCACTCAAGCGCTAACGCTGCCCCAAATCGGCTCTGGACAGGGATCAACCGTCCGTTTCGAAGCTATTCGCGGGGGGGGGAGGGCGCATTGGCTCACATTGCGGCGCTTTTGTATTACGCCCCCGCTCGACGGGCGTTTTGGGGAAAACGGGGTGGGATTCGCAGTTTTTTAGAGGTTTTGGCTGTACCTGTGTGTTCAGCCAAATCTGAAATGTTCGAAGCGGACGGTTGTCCCTGCCTGGACCTCACTTTGGGTGGGCCCTGTAGTAGGTCATCTCCATAAGGTATGTGGACGGTGCTTCATTCCACTTTTCATACGGAATTCGAAAATGATGCGTCCCTGTTCAACCATGGTGCTCTTGTTAAACAAAAAATCAACTAAGATTTTGAAAAGCAAAATGTTTCTTCTCATAAAGGGAAAGGGAGTTCTGTTCAACAGTTAATTATGGTGAACAGTTGCGAATGTTTGCCATAGGCTTATTTGACAGACCGAAAATTGTTTAGTGACATCTTGAAACCATACCACAATTTGAAGATGTAATTTTCTCTTCGAAACCTCCAACCATCAGTTATAGTCAGTACTTTGATATCTCCACGTATGCCAAGATTCGAAGGAAACGTTCCAACAATCCTTAACCCGAATTGCGCAGAGTGTGTACACCATGTGCGTCACGTGGCCCCACAGAAGAGATTCGTATTTGATCTATAAGCCCCACAAAGTCAATACGGAATATCGAGTACTGATAAAATTCTTGTGAGACTATCGATTACCGATGAAACACCTTACAAAATCGTGCAGAGATGCACGCATACATCGGCTGGGGGCCGCCAATTGTTAATGTTTGTCATTGGACTTCGAGAAGGGCTTCGTGAAATGGGTCACTCGGAGAAGATATGGAGAAAGAAATGCCGAAATTGTTTTCTGTTCTCACGTAAGATTCCCATCCCCTATTTAAACTGTGTGCTACCACAGGAAGAGAAATTACGGTAGGAAGGGAAAGAAAGAGAACGAAAACGTTTGGCACGGGTCGTACTCGAACCCGCACCCGAGCTTCCTGACACTATCCTGGCTCCTTTGCGCCTACATCTTCCGCGCATTTCTCCCACACATGTGTGGTGGGTTCCATTAACGTCCATGTCAAATTTTATCATGCGTACGGCTCGTGGATCACTTCCTGGACGTGCCACGTTCAGCCACTCAAGCCTTCCATCCTCTGGTTTCGGTCGGCTAATTGACACCAAAAAGTGTGTGGAGGACAAAACACTGGCTCGTTCATCGACTGCCTTCAAAGTTATTCAAGCAACTCATCTCCAACACCCACAATAACTCGGAAGTCCAATGTATGGCACATTCCTAAAATGGACTGATAACTGCCGAAAACACCATCATTTTATTTCTTCTAGGTTAGAAAACGAAATTGAGATCGCTACCTATTTCTGCCCGTATTCGCCAGTCGGTACAATTCCAGATATCTTGATGACCTTAATCTGACATGTTCATGTGATTATGATATTTAATTACCGATGTTTAAGCTGATCATTAACCGCTTCTTAATTAGCGTATTATGAGTATTACGAGTGACCCAACAAGCGGGTAAGAAAATCTGGCAACAGGTGCAAGGCATTGCGGGTGTACATCGCGCTACGCGGTCACACCACGCTATCTGAGTACGGTAGGCATTGATTAGGTGTGCTTAGGGATTACGTCATTTTGAGTAAGTGCCAATTACCGCGTTAAACAATGCAAGTTCAGATGTTGCACAGCGGTGTACCTTTAATTGACAGCTATCTGATGCGAGGGTCACAGAGTTCATGGGAATTTGATACAGGCCCGGTTACGGTAGCATTGTTCGCTAATAAGGGCCACTTTAAACTTATTATTAGCCACTGCAAGCACCGAAGACATACCGTTCATTTAAATACTAATAAAACCGTTGTTTAAAAAAGTCGGAAAAAAACTGGCTTAAAAAGCAACTTAACCCAACTACTCTAAGATATTTCTCTTGCTTAGCGCATATGGAAAGGCTGGCCTCGATCTGCCCGATCGCAGAGTTCAATTTCTCTAGGTACTGCCTACTGCCTTCCTTATGCTCTGGAATGTGAATGTTAGCTGGTTATTCTGCTCGAGAGTGAGATGGTTTTCAGGTTTGTTCCGTCCACAGCTACTCATAGACACTTATTTGCAAATTTAGGTTGAGGGATTGAAGTAAAAACCTATTGACATCCGCGTGCCAGGGGAATTCTTGCACTTCAGACTTCACAACCACAAGTTACACGGCCTCCGACGAACATCTGACGGACGTTTGGGGGGGTTTACAGTGAAGCTGATAGTTTGATAAGTGGTACAGTAGGCAACTGACTAATACAGTTGCAACCTGCTAATTGATTTCTATTGATCACGGGCTAATACATCGAGTTCAATTTCAACTCCTCTTCTGAAGCTTCTCGAAGCCATAGCATGAAAGTTTTTTTAAAATTACGACTGTCAAAAGGTAAAGGTAAATTACATTTGTTCAACTGCGACTTTCCTGCAGTCATCGTTGTCTCCACTTCCATGGCCCTAAATGATTGACTCAAGACCATAATGCTTAGTGAAGTGCTCAGCTTGAGTCTAAGAGCGCGATGTGCAGGTGGCAGTTGGCAATTAGCCAGGAAGTGTGCCGAGTGCAATCATTGTGTAAATAAGCAGAGCTAATATTGGGATTTGTGTGTGGATGATTGCACTGATTCCACTCGAGGTCATTAGCACGAGCAGTCTGTATTTGACTATTAGGCACAAGCTGGAGGCAGTTTTTGGCCGAAGCTGTAGCTATTTGGGCAGAGATATCCTTAAGGGGTAGCGCTTAATAGACATCATAATATTGTGTCAATGGGCAAAGACCGAGCCGCCGAAGGTCAACGGGTCCCATCTGAAGCAAGACGAGAGCCTCTGCTCCCTCTGGATCTCCTGTTCACACATACTCGCCGACACCGCAGATGTCACTATTATTAAACGACATCATAATTGACAGTACGCTAGCGTAATACGTACCCCCTTTGTTCGGATTGTGTGAAATTGATAAACAGCAGTAGTCAGCCTGTGGACTACCGTAGACAGCGTATAACCCTTGAGAATTTAGCCCATTTCACGGGCAGACTTGATCGATTTCAGACCACATTCAGAAACTGCCATTCCGTGAGGTTTCAGGAGGGAGAAAAAATTGCAGGCAAGACGCGCAAGAATTGCTTGTTAGGTGAAAATTAATGTCCCAGGTATGATTCGAGCCCTCATTTCTCTCCTACCGACTACACTTCCAGGGAATTTTTCACCTCAGCTAGCCTTCTAATGTTATATTCACCATAGGGATACCATAGCTTAAAACTGGAGTCATTCGGCACGAATCATCAGCTCAACATCCCTCGGAGGTCAAGGAAAGGTCTAATTTTGTTGTTATTTACAGTAGAGCTGTTACGGTGGGTTTCTCAGATTTCGTCGGGTCCCGTTTGAAGTGGAGCTTCTCCCTAGCGGATCGAAATAGTATAATTACAGGGGCTGGTCGTTCCAAACGACTATAATCGGCGAATCAACGAGATTGCGCGTGTCATCGTTCTCTTTGATGTTACCTCTAGCCGCCATCACAATATCTCTCTTTTCATCCCTCACAATAATAACCCTTTTTGGTACCATCACATTCCTTAGGCCTTAAGAAGGCTCTATATGCACTATTCAACAGTACTTTTACTCTCTCTTTTGTGCTTTCTAGAAAACTTCAAAGCACCTTGAACCCACTTAGCTACCAAAAATCTGCAACAACAGTTGAGCTTCATGGGAAATATGTGTTGACGATACTTCCTTAGAAACGTGTAAGTATTGCC